CTTCCAAGACAAAAAATCATTAAGAAGAGCTATATGATACAGACAAAACTATGAAGCTAAATAGCATTATATACCATATTTAGAAGAGCAACTCCAAATAATGATCATTTGAGCCAAACTATCGTTATTGTAGTGACTCACATTTATACCATCTTGACCTGGAGGGCCAGGAAAACCTTCAGAACCTTTACCACCAACAGGACCGGCAACACCAGTAGGTCCAGGTAAACCTGGTGTTCCAGATGTACCTTGAGGACCAGGATCACCTTTATCACCAGGAGGACCAATCAAGCAGGGACCACATTTCTCTCCTTTTAAACCTACAACAAAGTACAGCAATTGTATTGTAATATAGACTTACCCTGTCTCTGCTTCTGCCATTATGATATTAATCAATACTACATGCATCACTTATACAGAAATTTGATAAATGGTTCAGAATCTTCCAGTTAAGGGTGTATTTTATGACCATTGCCACATACAGTTCAAATTACTATGTCAAGAAAAATTGTTCAAGATTGCAATTCACGCAACATTGATAACTGGAGATGTTAGAGACTGTTTTAAAAACTAAAACTAATGTTTATCATGAGGAATATATTATAAATTTAATAAAGGTCTTTGTGCCCTCACACGAGGAGAACATTTGTCCCAATTTTCTGTGTTCGGGTGCCCATATTTGGGCCAGCGCTATACTGTTAACTTACCTTTGGGACCCTCTACACCATATGGACCTGGAGGACCAGGAAATCCGTCCCTTCCTTGTGCACCTCTGGGCCCTGGTGGACCAGGTGGGCCAATTTCACCTACCCCAGAACCCGGAGGACCAGGCGGACCTGATTTAAACAGTAAAAAAATGATTAAATCAGCATTAACAAGCATATTTTGAATCAGTGTCAATATCTGAAAAGATATCTGAAAAAAAGAAAGAAGTATGAGTGAATCATAATATCTTTTCTGAAAAGTATAAATTATAGTAAACTTACCAATTGGACCAAGTTCACCCATGGGACCAGGTAAACCTGGTAAACCTGGGCTACCTGGTAATCCATCCATGCCTGGAGGTCCAACTCGAGTTATTCCTGGCATACCTCTGTCACCTTTAGGACCTGATCGACCTGATTCTCCTGGAACCCCAGACTGGCCTGGAATACCTGGCATTCCTAAGAATAAAGTATAACCTTGCTCAGCACTAGCACAAAAATCATCAAATCATGATATCAAAAATTATTTTTTTCACAAAAATGCACATATCTGCAGATTGAGAGAAAATTGCCAAAAGCATACATCCAAGATGGAGGGGAATGGGTTTGATTATGATAGTATCTGTACAACAAATTTGGCATGGCCAATAGAATAGATCAAAGATGAAGGGGAATGGGTTGGATTATGATAGTATCTGTACATATAATTAGACATGGCCAATAGATCCAAGATGGAGGGGAATGGGTTGGATTATAATAGTATCTGTACACATAATTAGACATGACTAATAGAATAGATCCAAGATGGAGGGGAATAGGTTGGATTATGATAGTATCTGTACATATAATTAGACATGGCCAATAGATCCAAGATGGAGGGGAATTGGTTGGATTATAATAGTATCTGTACATATAATTAGACATGACCAATAGAATAGATCAAAGATGAAGGGGAATGGGTTGGATTATGATAGTATCTGTACATATAATTAGACATGGCCAATAGATCCAAGATGGAGGGAAATGGGTTGGATTATAATAGTATCTGTACATATAATTAGATATGGTCAATAGAATAGATCCAAGATGGAGGGAAATGGGTTGGATTATGATAGTATCTGTACATATAATTAGACATGGCCAATAGATCCAAGATGAAGGGAAATGGGTTGGATTATGATAGTATCTGTACATATAATTAGACATGGCCAATAGATCCAAGATGGAGGGAAATGGGTTGGATTATAATAGTATCTGTACATATAATTAGATATGGTCAATAGAATAGATCCAAGATGGAGGGAAATGGGTTGGATTATGATAGTATCTGTACATATAATTAGACATGGCCAATAGATCCAAGATGGAGGGAAATGGGTTGAATTATGATAGTATCTGTACATATAATTAGACATGGCCAATAGATCCAAGATGGAGGGAAATGGGTTAGATTATAATAGTATCTGTACATATAATTAGATATGGTCAATAGAATAGATCCAAGATGGAGGGAAATGGGTTGGATTATGATAGTATCTGTACATATAATTAGACATGACCAATAGAATAGATCCAGGATGGTATGATAGAATCTGTGCCATTAATTCATCAGTTTGTGCCTCTCTGCTCTTATCTCACATAATCAATGACAACTTATATACATACCTGGCTCTCCTGATTCCCCTTTGTCACCACTTCCAGGGCTACCGGCTGGACCTATTGGACCTGGCTGTCCTGGTGGACCTGGAAAACCATCACGACCTCTTTCACCTGATATAGAAAAAATTTGGTAGATGAAAATCATGTTTTAACACAAACAAGACAATCCGAAAAGAATTTTTCACTTTTATGAATTAAATTCCTAGCAAAATTATGACAGCGACTTGGGTCATAACTATACCTAACGAATAGACATGAATATAATCTTTAATTATTTTGGTACAACACATGTACAAGATTCTCAGCTGTTTATTCAGTAGCATTCTCAGTAGCAGGTTCGGAGAAGTCAGTTTTAACAAAGATTAAATAGCTTAGAAAGAACTTCTGTGTGCTGAGAGTATTTAAACTGATCAAGTTTGTGGATTACCCCGAAGCATCTATAAACCAAATTTCAATGAAATGTAATGATTATACACATTATTCAAATTAGGTAATCAGTATGCTCGAAATCTTAAACTAATGTATTAAGTTTCATTGAAATGTGATGATTTTTACTAATTTTTATGCAAATTAGGTTATTATAATATGCATGAATTTTTACCCCAAACTAATCAGGTCTGGTTTTATCCCAGTAAGTTTTATTGAAATCCGACCAGCAGTTTTGTAGTTACCGATGGAACATACATACATAAATACACTTATACACACACACACACACACACACACACACACACACACACACAGTCACACAACAAAGATGCCCGTGAGCATCACACAGGAGTCAAAATTACAAAATTAGAGATATTGACACAAGTGAACAAATCTGAGAGAACCAACAAAGGTACCGTTAAAGTCCTAATATAAACCGCGATTTATATTACAATGTATCAATTTAAAAATTGGGATCAAAAGCTCAAATTCGGGGTGCGGTTTCTATTACGTACATATTGCAATCACTAAATGGGCGTGGTCATTTTTTGTCCACAACACTTGCACAAAACAAACAATACACCGTACAATCTCTTGAATAGGCGTCAGGGAAGAGTGAGAGGCTTTACTTTGGTTCTAAAATAGGCGTTACGAAATGTTACAGTTACAGTCAATCAAAAAAACTGTACACATGATAAAAAAAATACTCACTATATTTAATGTAATAATTTTTTTTTTAATTTTCTTGTTAAAGAAAAGTATATTCTAACAGAAGTTTCAAGTAAAAACAAACACGAATGCACTGCTTAGTAGCAAATGATCACAGAACGGTAGCGCGATCCGACCATGCTGTGGTTCACAAGTGAATAACTTACTTGTTTTCGAAGTGTTTAAATTGGCAATTATTATTCATTAGTGATTACTGTAAAGGGGGTAATTATTCACTGGGTTTAAATTTAGCTTATTTCGCTGACTGGAAAATGCGCTAAATTAAAACCCAGTGAATATGTAAAATTTAGCATCGAACACATTATCTAAATGACAAAACCGTGAATTTAAAACCCACTGAATATGCCTGAAATCGTAAATCAGTGAAATTTAAACCCAGTGAAAATTAGTCATTTTACAGTATTACAATAACGCACGAAAAATAAATCCGTTGAATTGTCATGAATTGCAAGTAGTTTCGCCGTAAACGAATGATTTCAGTCACATGTAAACTGTCGATACGATATCGGCCATGTTTTTGAATGCACACGTGACGTTTTATTGACCAAATAGGTCATGTCGCTAATTAACCAATCAAAATGCTGGATGGTGCCCACG